CATTCCACCATCAGAAAGAGACTGAATGGTAACCAGGACGCTGCAGGGTGAAAACCACTGCAAATGAAGAGGAACATAAAGGCTCTTCCTATTATTGACAAAAATATCTTGTTGACCCAAAAGCCTTTAGGAATAATGTTCTGTGGAACTCTTTAGAAGACAGGTCCCGTTACATATAGCGTAAAGTTAACACAGCTGTAGTCCCCTTTTGCCACCATGGGAAAGGGGTCTGTATGTTTAACCTGGGTTCTACAGGTACGGTTCTCACTAACTAGCTTACTGTATATTCAATATAGCTTAACCACCTTTATTTCAGGAATATTAACATCTTAGAATACCAATGGGTGGTGTCAGAGTTAGTGTATAAAAATGTCTTGTAAATATTGTAGTCAAAATGAAATGTCAGTTTCAAAGTTTGTAACTGAACATTTGTAACTTAAATGTACAAATGACTAAGTGACCGTCACTCACCTACAATATATTCGTCTGTTTTGCTAGTGGCTAACCCGAGGAACCTCAAACGTTTCTGGTAGCCCGAGGCACTGTCAAATAGCATGTCTTCCTATGGAGGCTGTCCTCTGATTGGCAACTCAGTGTAAGTCCATAACCCCACTGGAGTGGGTTTAGCAGTAAGCTAATGCTGTTTACCAAAGCTATGCTAATGCCGAGGTCCCAGGGTTAAAGTCATCATGCTTTTGTTAGCAACTGAGTACTACTGTTAGCAGCTAGCACTGTTGCTAATGCTTATCTTCAATGAAGCAGCTAACGTTACTGTTAACAGCGAATACTACTGCTAGTGGTTAATGCTACTGTTAACACACCGCAAAACTCATTTTGCACTCTCCTGCATGAAGCGTTTGATGCTGAATGCCTCTTTTATCTCAGGAGGGAGCTGCACATGTTCGCTAAGCTCCAATAAAACTGGAAAAGCAGAGATGCTATTGGTGCTCAGGAGCTACACAGGTGAGAAGGGGAATGCTGCAGACCGGAGCCCTAAAGGGAGGCACTCGGGGCGAGTCTGTCATCATTTTTTGCATCAACATCATAAATCGCTACTCTTGCCCGTCATCACATTTTGCATCGCTGACCGCGCAGATTATAACGAGCCTGTCCGTCATTTATCTTGCATTAGCCAATTATCTGAGGTCAGTCTGCCGACTCTGCACTCTCAGCCTGACCTGTCCACCGCAGCAGTCATGCGCCGCTGCTGACACCACAGTGCTTTTTTGTGTTAATGAGGAAACAGTGAAACACGAACTGCTGGGCACAGAGTCACACTGAATGTACATTAACGTTGTCATAGTGATTACGAGGTAATTAATTATGGAAACTTTCAAATCAAACACGACGTCAAACAACATGTCGGGTTTCCATTTCGCAGAAAAAACAACAGGGCTACTGAAACTCATGAAAGCCAGGCTGAAGACGATCACAAATGACAAGGGGGTTCAGGAAACAGGAAGCAAGGGGGGGACAAGGAACACAGGCAGGAGTGGGAGAGTAGGGCAGAAAGGGAGGGAGATAAGGGGGGCAAAGGGAGAGGACAAAGGCAAGAAAAGAACACAAAAGGCATGGAGGGAAAGAGAGAGCCAGAATATTAAAGGGGGTATGCATGACAGCAGAGTGAAGTAGGTAGAGTAAAGACAATTATAGTGTAACGTCACAAAATCTCCTATTCCAAATACTAAATGTTATATGACCGGTTATAGTAAGACACAATAAATCACAAAAGAATTCCTTTCCATGTTTATAACAGGTTACCTTCCCTCCATTAAGTATACAACACCATCCTCACATTCACCATCCCTTCCCGCATACGCCTACATATTTTATTATGAATGTCAGTAAGGTTTGGGATTTGCTCCCTGTGCACATTACCAGTTCGAATGTGAGATGTTACCTCATCCATTATCTCAGGCCCCTTGGGCCGTTTCAAATAGTAAGTATTCCTCTCATTGTTATCCTGAATAATAAGTTTAAGAACATAGATTTAGTCCCTGTAATGCCCAACCAAATATATCTCTATTATTTATCAAAATTAAAATACTTCCACCATTAAACAACCTAATTATAGCCAACCCTTTTACGTTCGCACGCGAGCTTTGTCAAATTGTCCCTCCCTCATTTTTTCCCTTCTCTCTCTTCCCCCAGCTCCTTCCTTTTTACCTTTCCCCCATCCCTTCTCCTTCTCATTCATTGTTCCTTCCATTTATGGGGATACTCTTTCTAATTCATTAAAATACATAACATTTCATTCATTATTCACATCAAATTAACGAAAAGCAAGGCAAAGGACTAGCAGGTAATGTAAGTAAAGTCCAGTCAAGAAGAGCGAAATGCAGTGAAAATCCACTTTCAACCTCTTCTACTAACCCCTTCATCGCCTGTTGTCACCTTCCTTCCTGCCCACCACCCTACTGTGCTTTTTATGTATCAGGAGAAAAATCGTACCGCACAGGTATGATCTATGTACGAACCCTATGATAAGGATTGGGCAGAATCAGTCATAGAGGAGTGGGGCACAGGAATCAGAGGCCAAAGAATTAAGGAGCAGCAGAGGAGGAAGGGGACAGGGGAGGGACAGGGAGAAAGCAAAAGACCCGAGAGAAGAGGGGAGGGGCAGACAAGGAACAAGGCAGAGGCAAAACAGCAGGAAGGGAAGCAAGGGTCAAGGGACGGAAAAAAAAAAGGAAAAAGGAGAGAAGAACAAAGCAAGGGAGCGAGGAAAGACAAGAAAAGGGAGACAGGGAGACAGGGGGGGACAAGGAAGAGGGACAGCACAGAAAAGAGAAGGGAAAGGCAGGGGCAAGTGGCAAGGCAGAGGCAAGAAAAAGAACAGGTGGGGCAGCCGAGAAAAGACAGCAAGCAAAACGAAGACAAACACGAAAAAAGGACACAGGGGAGGAAGAACAAGAAGGGGGCACAAGGCAGGCAAGAAAGGCAAGCAAAAGAAAAAAAGCAGCAAGACAAAAGAAAAGGGAAAGGACAGGGGCACAAGGAAAAGAGATAGGTCAGGAAAAAGGCAAAGAGGGAAGGGAAAGCATACAAGGGGGGGGGAAATGGCAAGGGAAAGAGACAGAGGCCAAGGCAAATCAAGAAAAGGGCAAGGAGGAGGAGACAGAAGGAAGGGGGAAGAAAGGAGTAGAGAGGGCAGCAGGAAGAGAAGAAACGAGAGCAACAGGCGGGCAAAACCAAAAGAGCAAGGACAAAGGTGCAGGGAAAGGGATCGAGGAAGGAAGAAGTAGGGGGCAACAAGAGAAGCAAAGAAAGAGGAGGGGCAGGAACAGGGGGAAGGGAAAAGGAAGTGAAGGGAACAAAGGGCAGACAAGGATAGAGTTGGAAATGGATGTTGGGGTCAGAATGCTCCCCATGGACAACTAAGAGCCCGGAGCCGGGAATAGCATATACGAGATGATATCAGTTTCGTATCAAATGTACACGAACTTTTCCATTAATAACACAAATATATTGAAAAACACAACCAATACTACTTTATCACTTTAATTAATCCTAAATCTATAAATACTAACTATAAACATCTTTTTCAGACTATAATCCTTTTTATTCCAATTCCTATCAATACTCATTCACCCTTTTTTTTTATCCCTTCCTCAGTAATCTAATACCAATTTAATGTTTTAAATGTCTAAATTTTCGAATCTCCTTTGAAACCTTATACAATATATATTGTCTTATAACATATAAGATACATCAAATAATCAATTATCATTTTTAGCATTGAACTGTGTCATAATTAATTCACATTATATCCGTCCCACCCTTTAATCTTCCATAATAATTTCAATTAAAATTATTTACCATTAAAATTATTCAATTCTTTTAAATTCATTCATTAATTATATGTTTATCATAAATATAATCAGCCCATAGATTATATTTATATCACATTGAATTACTTTTTGTGACATTTATTTTCAATACATATTATAAATATATTAAAAAATATTATAATTTCATCACTATTTCAAATCAGCATTTTTTTATAATTAGATAAAAAAATTCTCATATGTTTAATGTTAAAATATAAATATTTCTAATTGCATACCCATTTTTTAATTCATCATCAATAGAAGATAATACATTATGTTTATATTAACATATATTCAATTTTTCATATGTATCAATTTAGCAATTTATTAAATAAATTTAAACCAACTATATAACTTCAATAAGAAACAAAAAAAAGCAAAAAAACAAACAGTCCAAATTCTACAAATACTTCACCTTTTTCTCCCATTGCATTTATCAATTAAATCCCTTCTTTCATTTTTTTATAAGAATTCAATTATCAATTTTTAGAACTTACTATAAACTAATTTTACAATATATATAACCCAATTTTTCAAATTTTTTCTCAATACATAATTTAATTTCATATAAAAATTAACACATAAATTCAGATTATTAATTATATTTGTCTCAGATCAGCAACATTTATTTTTAATAACAGAGAAACCGTTATTGAGTAAAACCTGATGGTTTTGCTTCCTAACGGGAATTGGCTTGATGGTTGCCTTTAGAGACCTTTAGGAAATGATCAACTGCATATGGAATCAGTCCCAGAACAGCTGATTAAACGATCGGAATCCTTTACACTGATATTAATCCATCAGGAAAACGCAAAAGACCAATAGCGACTACTGGACACCACCAGAAACCAACAGACACTTTTAATGGGTTCTCTGACTTTTTTCAACAGGGAGGTATTAAATGTCTCTCTAGCTGTGTTCTGGACGGAAAATGATCATAAGCACAAAACACAGCGAACAGTTCCCATTAGGAACCAAGTGGAATGACTTTTTGAGAACAAGCAAAGTTTAGGTGGAAAAAGTGTTTGTATAAACTCAGAAAAAGACACACACCAGTCGTTACTGCATATGTGCACATATTTCTATACTGTGTTCATGTATTTACCCACAAAGTCAGGAAGAACATGCGCTATCAGTTCACTGATGCTTTTATGTGCGATGGTCAGTCAGTGTTTGCATGAACTCCATCCTGCTTAAACAATAGTTATAATAATGTATTGATCTGAAATAAGAAATTGGGTGATATTTAAGGCAACTTCCTATCTTCCCACTTCCGTGTGCCTGAACAGCATGTAACGCCTTTTTGCACTTTCCTTCAAACCATTGGCTGATACAAAAAATGAGTGACAGGTAATTCCCATTTGTGATTGGCCAATGCAAGTTTTGATTGACAGTCCATCTCTGTTATATGATTGCCCGATGCAAGAAATGATTGACAGTGTCTCCGCTCATTCGTTACGCCCACTGGTTCTCCGGGCCTGCAGACACATATACTTGATTTCACATCTGAAGCTGTGTGACTACCACCCCAACCCACGAGACAAGAGTTGTAAGTTAAGCTGGTTAAATTAAGCTGGTACCAAATTCAAAATGGGCATGTATTTCAATAAAAATCAAAAAACAATAAAACTTCTCAGTTTCATCATTTGATATGTTGTCTTTGAAGCATTTTCAATGAAATATAGTGTTTAAATTATTTGCACATCATTGCATTTTGTTTTTATTTACATTTCCCAACTTGGAAATGGGGTTGTAAAATAAACAAGGAAATAATGTGGAGTGGAATCCAGAAGTCTGATAGCGTTAGAGTAGGCACTGCTACTAAACTGAGATTTTCTACATAAGGTGCTTTGAGACCTTTTGCTGGAAGGGAGCTTTTAAAATGGTACTGTGCTGGGTGTGAGCTGTCTGCATAGCTTTTTAATGCCATCCTTCTGCTATATATAGAGGCAACAGATGGAAGTTCACAGCCAATTGCACAGTGGTGTACTTGTGACACACACATATACAGTATGTATGCATACACACCTTCAATGTGATTAAAGCGCCGCGTTACTGTAGCTATACTGAGATTGAAGGCCTCCTGATAACGACGTGCATCCTTTATGATCGAGTTCCACGGCTCTTCATTCACAGTGTTCTTTATCCAGTCTACTTTTTGGAGTTCTTTGCTGTCACTGTCATAATACCCGATTTGAAGTCCATCCAACTGACTGACAGCAGTGAACTCTGGGAAGTTGATTCCTGGTGTGACGCCAGTGAGGAAGAATTGCAGAGAGTGATTGGCTGTAAAGATAAAAAAAAATATCATTTAAATGATTTCTCAGATAACTGCAACTGGAAATCAAAGGCTACTGCACTATAGAAAAAAATAGTAATCTGGTGTTTAAACTTGATGACCGGCTGAATGAATTTATTCCCTACGTTTATACCCTAAAAGCCTCAGCAGTGGGCAGATAAAACAAACTCCTCAATGTTCCAAACAAAAATAATCTGTCTCATATTTAAGCTTCATAATAAAATGCTGTGTGTGTTTTACTCTTCCTCAACAGAGAACACATGAACAGCATGATCAGTGTGTCAGACACTCGGAAATCATAAAAAAATCTATTCTTCTATTTTTAAACTCACTCTATTTAATCACATATTCCTTTCCAGTGTGCTGAAGCTCAAACGCAATTTCAATTTTGTATATCTCATATATATATATATATATATATATATATATATATATATATATATATATATATATATATATGAGATATACAAAATCTGCGTCCCATTTCAGGGGCTGCGTTCTTCGGAGGCTGCATTTGAAGGCAGATTGCATCACAGCGGTGCGACTAGGCCATCTCATTTCAAAGCCTCCTTCATGTGTGACCAAGAAAAGTGTCCTTCTTTTCCATGGCAACGAAGGATCCAATGGATGGACATTTCACCTCAATACTGTCCAATACACTGCTGCATACAGAGCGTACTAGATTTAATATTTTATTATGAATATACAGTGGGACCTATTAAGATCTGGCATTGGGGATATAATTGCTATTTAAAAATAGCTCTCGACAGCACTCTTGTCAAGTCAAGGCTTTATTGTCATTTCAGCTATATACAAGTAAACAGACTTTAACAGAAAGTAGGTCTTGCAGAAGGACAACAACCCTAAAAACACCAGTCTACAAAGAGTGGTTGAAGCAGAACAAATGTTGCATTTTTGAATGAATGAGTCAGAGTCCAGACCTATGAGACAATGAGAATGTGGCAGGACCTGATTTAACAAGGAATAGGCCATGAAGTGAGCTAATAACACCATAAAAGAAGTTAATTTTAGTCTAACTCGATCCAAAAACCCTCCACGAAAAGCGGACACAGACGACCGTGTACGCTGCCTGGGAGCCAGGCCTTGTGCAGGAGGTTGAGAGGTACCATCTAGATGTAGTTGGGCTCACCTCCACCCACAGTGTTGGCTCTGGAACCAAACTCCTGGATAGGGGTTGGTCCCTCTCCTACTCAGTGGGTTGCACAGGGTGAGAGGCACCAGGCCAATAAGAAATTACATCTGCAATAATCCATTAACTGTGTGCTGTTTTTTTTATTTCATTAATCTTTAAACTGTAACACAGTTAAACTTGATTTGTGTTTAGTTAAATGACCATATTTCACACCTTTCAGTTACACGCTGATGGTGAGGCCTAAAATGGGGGGTGAGGGGTGAGGGGTGGGGGGAGTGGGTTGGGAGCTGCTCCTTTTTCATTTTAGCACAACAGCCCCTTGAAATGTCTGTGCACGTCGCTGATTCCTTTATTGGTGTCCTTATTCAGCATGAAGAAATGTTGTGGAATAGGGATTTGCTCATACAAGCTGAAGATGAACATGCAGAAGCAAGTCGCACAGCAGCAAAGGCTGTGAAAACAGGACATTAGTGAACCATCAGCCTCTGGAAACATTAGGAGCTCTTAGTTTATTTAAAAGCACTTTCTCCTCAACTGAAGCATTTCATTGTAATGTTAAAGAGTGCACAAGTGTTTTAAATCACTGTGAGCTGTAGGCCATATTAGGGCTGCAACTATTGAATTTTAGCTTTTGCAACTGAATTTTAGTTTTTAATATTCTATCAAATATTCTGTAAGATTAAGAAAAACTCAATGAAACTATTCACTGTTGTTGCTGGTATCTCTTA